TATCCTTAACGCAGTTAAGCACTATAATTATTAAAAAATGTAAAATTTTTGAAAAGTGACGAGGGGTTCTCACGATAGCTGAATAGATGCTGGGCAGGATTTATGTTCAACAGAGTTATGGACATCAAAACTCTCGCGGTTGATGAGTTCAGTTCCAAGCATATACAATGCAGTGCAAGTAAAGAATGAGACGAACCGAAAAGTAAACAAATTGTATTATATTTTCAATAAAACGCCATAAAGCAATTATAAATAAAACATATTTCCAGACATTGAAACCGATTAAATACTGCCATTAAATCGACTTCGGAGACGCTAAATTATGTCTTAATTTTATTGCTGCTATAATATTTACTTTACAACGCAAACGTAGCTTCGTTTTAATAAATAAATGTGAATTTTATTACAGTTGCACGTTAAAATTGAGCCACTGGGCGTTATTGTAAGTACCGACCAATAAATTTTTTATGTTTATATCAGTTTATATAACAAGGCATCGATTAATTTGTATTTATTGACTTCAAATAATTGGTCTTGTTTAAAGAATACAAATTAGTATTTGCATATTGATTATCCTGTTTTAAACCTGCTTCCGTGTCATCGCAGATTTAATTATTGAGTCAACTAAAGTCAGTGGCTCGGTAAGGCCTGCCCAAACGCTTTTGCCATGGAGTGACGTCCCATACGTCAATTATTTCAAGATCTGGCGATTCTCTGATCTGTTAGTCAGATGAGAGACTGAACTTCCCACGATCACTTAACCATCTGTAAGTTTCTACAAAGGTTTTCTTCTTTGAAATAAATTACATAAACATATTTTAAGCATAGTGCCTGTCAATTGATAGTAAGTTTCAATTTAGTTGTTGTGAGTTGCCAGAGACTTCAATTAGCATTTGGCAATGAAGCACCATGTCGCAGCTCTGTGTTTTCGTGGTTTGGAGAATTTAGACGTGGATGTGATCCTCTCCATGACTCTAATATTGACACCGTACGACAACTTATTGAAACTGACAAAAAATTACTTGCCATCAAATTCGTGCTTTGTTAAGCATTGGAATGAGCCAAGTGCAAAACATTTTACATGTGCATCTGAAGGTTCGGAAGCTTTGCATTCGATCGATACCGTATGACTTAACGAAGCATCAGAAACGACTACGTGTCCAGTGGTGCCATAAAATGATAAAAAAGTTTAACGAAGGATAGTCATTGGATGTCTATAATATCGTGACAGGTGAGGAAAACTGGGTGTACTGCTTTGAACCCGTCGGCAGAGTGGGTCTTTCCTTTCGACGATTTGACGACGAAAGTTAATAAAAGTCAAGGCATTGGTAAAAAAATGGTTGCTTCTTTTTTCGGCAAATCAGGACATTACACTACAGTATCGCTTGAAGATCAAAGGACAGTAACTGCAGATTGGTACGTCAACACTTGGTTGCCCAGAGTCTAAGAAAAAGTTCGCGAAAAGCGTCCTCAAAGCAATGTTCTCCTTCACCACGATAACGCATCCTCTCATTCCGCTAAGGTAACAGAAGCCTATTGGAAGGAAGGGAAAAATTAAAGACAAACTTAGAGGCACTCGTTTTACGAGCCTTAAATCGGCGGTGTATGCGTTCCATGAAGCCATTGAAGAGGTCCTTAAGGAAGACTAGTCCGACTGCTTTGTACAGTGGTTTCAGCGAATGCAAAAATGCATTAATTACGAGGGAATTTACTTTGAAAAACAATAAATGTATCGGAAGTCTTATATCTAGTCTTATTTATCAGAATCTTAAAGTATGATTTCGGCTTATTTAAGTCAGTGATCCTTTTTAATAAAGTTAATAGTTAACTGAGTGATTTTTTACTTAAAATTTTGAGTTTAGTTATGTCAAGATAAATTAATAAATAAAATAAGTTTAGGAGCCTGAATTGGAAATTACGCATTCTATGAATATGTACGTTTAACTTCTACTGCATATCTAGCTGCACATATTTATATTTTTACCTGTGTAATATAAAAAATATTTTGAATAAAACATTTCACAAAATATTTCTAAGATTTTCTGTAAGAAAGAAAGCTCTTCTTTTTTTCAACTCTTCTCTCTATGTACTTCGGTGTAGACTTAAAATATTATCTATCTGCCTGTATATTTAAATACTTCTAAAGTTTATTAAGACAAAATATAACAGTAAGTTTTAAATGCAACACACCTCAACCAATGGTAATAAGCATCATATTTATGACATTTGATCGTTTCATGGTCTCTACTCAATTCGTTTCAGATACGATACCTTTTCGTATAGTATTTAATGAGTTAGTACTTACGTCCTTCTGCATTCTTAATCTATTAGTTTCGACCAAACAAAAACCAAAGCTAGAAACAATTATCCCTTCCCCCTTGGTTTTGTGATTTTTTTAATGAAAACTAAGATTTTGATATTTTTTTAAAAACCTTTGAAGTTACAGTACCTTATGTTGTTTTCTAAAGTAAGACAGGTACTAAAATTCTATTTCCATTGGTATCCATTGTTCACTTTTATTATAATTTCTCTCATCATATTTCTCACATAATCTTTTCCTACTTTTGAGTAAGCCAGTGGTAGCCCATTCACGAAATGTGGCGTTACCTTTAACCATTAGTGTTGTTGGTGTAAAAATGGTGTTAAATGTTGAATGCTTTTTTTTTAAATAGACAAATTTTTGTTTATTTTGAACTGCACACCGGTAAACCATGATTTTTTGTCTATTTTTTTGTTTGTAAGGATCAGAACACACAACCTACAGTCCTACAAGGCCTAGGGGTACGTAGTTACTTCGGTAACCGTTACTAAATAAAGGGTCATGATACTGAACAATATTAACTATGTATATACAGTAGTTAAACATGCACTGTAACAGATACTTTAATTAAGCTCTTGAAAGGCATCCGGCCTGCACATACGCACAAAGCAATCAACCGGTCGTTGAATCCTTAGCTTCTTTGTGAACGATTTATCTTCAACATTATATTGTATTAGTTTTGAAAAACGTATGCCTAATTAAATCGATTGTGTTCTTGAAATTGGGTGAAGACTCGTTATTGACTTTCTAAGAAACAGATTAGGTGCTTCTGGAACAGTTTAAATGGCTACTATAAGATTTACTGTTTTTATAGTTAACATTATTACTGGTATGAACTGTATTGGTGTATTTCCGTGTGGTGAGGGTTTAAGAATACGGGGTATCACCACGCCTATATCAATCCGTCTGGTGAGCGTGGCTTAGGCCAAAACCTCCTTCCTAATGAGAGGCCTATGTTTCGTAGTAGACTATTAAAGGCTGCTGCGATTATGTTATGATTGGTATATACCTATTAATCAAACTAAGTTTAGTCACTTTTATTACTTTTTGTTTATTTAGGTGCACAGCTTGAAGCATACATTATTGCATACAATACAAAACACAAATTAGCATTTCATTGCATGCAACTGCAATTAAAACACTAACAATTATGGAATGGCAACCGTAGTCCAGGAAGACACTTTGATTTTTTAAATTAGGAAACCGGCTCGGTAAAAGCAGAATTCCGTCATTGTACAGACAGGAAAGCATCATCGATGTGTATTAATGAAGCCAAGGCACGGATGGGTAGAGTGTGCGCGCGCGCCGCAGTGTTACCGCGTATTTCAAACGATACACTCGCGAACTGCATATGTATTTTCCAAAAACTTCTCAGGTCGATGACATAAGTTCGGAAGGACTCGAAATGTTACGGTGTCAATCGATTCTCGTATAGATGATTGATTTATTAAGGTGAATATTAATATTGCAGTGCTGTGTTGTTTGTTTGATATTAATTAGATGTAGAATAGCTTAAATATTTCATAAATTAAGACTTTTACGTCCAGTAAAAGTAAATGTGTTGTGTTAGTATTTAAATAAAAAAACACACATAACGTTATATCATCTTATTCAGAACACAATTAATTAAACCACTTACATTAAATTAGTTACGAAACTAAAATTTTGTAAATAAAATTATGTCATCACAAATTTATTACTTAATTTTAAGATTTCGTGTACTCGAAATGCACTTGTTATCAACAATGGATAACCTTTCTTTTACAATTATATACCAACTATCACATTGATAAACAAATACTAAACAATATTTTTCATGTTTTAATATGGCTTAACACGAGTGATCATTTAAAAGTGTGATTCATCATCATCATCAACAGCCTACAATAGCCCACTGCTGGACACTGGCCTCTCTTTAGAGTGTACTTACAGTAATTATATACAAGTACAAATAGTTACAAAATAACCAATTTATTTTATTATGTGCTCACTGTTGTTTATTTACATAATTTTACGTATTTTTCGTTTCCTTTTATATACAAACTTTTGTAATAGTTTATGATATAGTAGCAATAACTGTAGTAGAATAATGATTGTTATTAACATTTCGTGTAAAATGTAGTAATAAAAATAAACCGCAGGAATATTGATTTTAGATGCATTTGATTCCAGATATATCATTTATTACGTTTTTACAATCTTTAATATTTTTAAAATTTATAGTAACAGTAGCATCATCCGCAAAAAAATAACACAAACCTTGTCATTTATTGCTTTTTATTTTATACAAACAAAAAAGCATAGGAACCAGTACGATCCCTTGTGGAACTCCACATAAATTATATTTTGCCTAGGAATCATTTCTTTTTGAGTAGTTCGTAAGCGTATTGAGTTTTGTTATAAAAGTAATTTGCTTTCTATTAGGAATTTAAAATAATTAAGTGCTCGCACCTCGCACTAAATTTATCCAATTTACTGATTAATATTAAAGGATTCATGAAATATTAAAGTCACGCGATCCAAACAACTTAACCAATATTTTTTTTACATTATAACATTAACATATTAGAAACCTCGATACGTAAGAAATATGACGAGAAACTATATATATATAACACTTTCATTTTCAGATGTTACAAGTTATAATAGTTTGAAAATAAGTGAAATTAAAACTTTTAAAATGTACGGAAAGGTGCTTGTATTGTTAGTAGCAGTGTGCTTTATGCCTATCGTGTTAACGAAGACGAAAAGGTTTACAAAATCAGCAGCCAAGCAATCGAACACGTTATACAAAATAAGGTGTGATCTGCTGTGTATTGAAAGAACTAAAGAAGCTAAGTCATTGGTAAGTGTTTACATTTAAGTATTTATTAACAACGGCTTACTTATAATGAGGTATTGTACAACTGATTTGTGTTTGAATATGAACCATTAGAATTAAACAGAATCTCCCATCCTTCAGAAGTTCCCAGTCAGGCTTTACTAATCTAGTCACATTCTTAGTGGCTCCTGAGCATCATGAGGAAATAGATAAGGATGACAATAATGCTTGTACTAAAGCTAACGAGATAAACAAGTGTAGCATCGACTGGAATAATTTTAATTGCACAACCAATCTGTGGAACGGGTTATCGTCTGCGGTATTTCCGGACCGATACGACCTTCAAACCTTCAAGAAAAGAGCGTACTCCTTCCTAAAGGGCCACCAACGCGTTTGTGACTCCTGATTTGAAGACGTTAATGGGCGGCGAGGGTCACTTTCCATCAGGTCTGCTCGTCTGCCCCCTCTAATAAAAAAAACCTTCTTGTGTCTTCTATTTTTCTTTAGTCTAGTAACCCTGACTGCTAAGCTAGGGTCCCACCCAGGACAAATAATTGTATGATGAGTACGATTATTTGCTTTTACCTCTCGGTGTATTTCATCAACAATATATATGTATTTAGAAATAAATAAGCACGTTTACTTTCTGGCTACCATAGTAAAGGCTCTGCCTAGTTTGAGATCAATCTTTCTGAATGGCGAAGATTTTTATTGACTGTCCATTGACCAACTGGCACTCTTTAGGGAAGGCCTTCATTTAGCAGTGGACGGCAATTAATAGGCTGATGATTGACCAATCGAAAATTTGATTTATATATATATATTTAAATAAAACAGTAACTGGGAACCTTTCCCCTTCTTTCCCCTGTCTTTTTCTGTCCTACTCTTCCCCTGAATATACTCATGACTACGCTAGGTGTGACGAGTAACCACAAACTTCTGCAGGGTGGGGATTGACTGTTTTATGATATTGGTTACAATTCTAATAGAAATTTGCTTTCCCTTGGGTCTTAAAAAAATTTCTTTGGTAGACTTTATTAGTGCATATAAATACTATCCAACCTATCTTCTCGTTACCTCTTTTTAGTATAGAAGTTCCTTTTGTAAGTTTTCTAACATTTTCTTTAAGAAGGTCACACTCAACCATCAAACTTCAATGTTTATAAAAGAGAATTATAATGTGGGGTGTTACATGAAAACCGAACGCACAAGCCGCACATTCGTTAAATGTCATTGTTATGAACATGACTCATATCATAATAACTCATAAATATCCTACTACTAGGTACATACCTCTCTCAAAGAGAGATGCGGGTTGGCTGAGTACAAAAACCTTCAAGAGCTTTATGGAACATTTTTGTGTTTTACGCGATACTATCCATCACTGTTTAAACGAACGAACAAAAACTCGGTAAGAATGGACTAAAGTTAATTTTGTTACGTGTTCACTTTCTGTCTGAGGTAACAGCACTTATTTCAAAAAGATTTCTTCCTTTTCCCAACCTTGAAAACCGTACCGTATTTACCATAGTGCACACGGACCATGTGCCTAGCGTACCCTTTCTGACGGGGTCCCCGAAAAGTCCCATTTTAAGGCAATAATTTAGGTTTGACCCGGAAACGGTTACTTTCAGTATTTTTCTGGATCTGTAGTGAAAATTTTGTATTTGTATCAAATTACTTTTTTACTGTCCAGGGCCACAAAATTTTATGTATCCTACCTATGGGCATGGCTTGTAACGGCCTTTCCTAAAAAATTAAAATGAAGAAATTTAAATTTGGAAACTGAATTTGTAAACTTGAGATATGATCTAAGAACAAAATCCGTCAATATTATGATCAAAGTCTAATATATATGCTATTGTTGACTTTCGAATGCTGTAAACAGTCTTGCTAAGTGTAAAGAATAAGAAAGCCATTAATCTTAAATAGATGAATGAGGTACTCTCTATAATAGAGCCTCAACAATGTAAAAAACAATCAACAAAATAAATGCCACCTAGCTTGTCATTTAGTTGATTCAGATCAAAGTAAACATTAACTAGGCCTTGCAATTGCCAATCAATAATAATGTGGACAATAAACAATCGATGACGTCTACAGGAAAACCCAATGTAACTTGAATTTTTAAGAAATTGATCCACTGTAGGATATTTTATAATCAAAGTTCAATGTGCTCAAATAAAAAAATATCTTGACATTACAATTGCATGTTTACTATGCATAAAAAATATTTTGAGTTAAGTTACGTAACCCAAAGCACTACAAGCTAGTAGAATGAACAAAGTATTTTAAAGATAACTGTCAGAACAATCACGATATGAATGTTTTCTGAGTACTGACATAAACGTGATATCTAAAAAAATGGAAGGAACATAAACTGTAACACAATCAAGATTACAAACAGTATCTATACTACAACATAATTTTGCGGCTCTGGATCGTGGCTAATAAGACCTCGTTGCGCTAAATTCAGAACCGCAAGAAGTAATTATGCGAACTCGCATCAGAGTAAAAAATGGGAGACGAAATGACAAAATACAATCGCATTTTGATCGCGACGTATGTCAGGACTTAACGAGCTTCGAGCGAGTCCTTAGATACTTTTTTCTGACTTTTCAACTATTAACTGCAACATTCAGTAAAAAGAATGCTTGAGGTTTTCAAGATTCATTGTTAGATCTATAAATCCGGGCCAAATTACAGGCACATTATAATTCTCTATACTGTTGTAAGTCGATCGTTGGTACATGACCCTGAGATTATATATCCATTTATTATAAGAATTATCGTCCTTAAAAATAGTAACTATTAAGATTACTTCATAACATTATTTACATTATTATCATTACTTTGTATCATAAAATAAGTGATAAAACCTTTAACGAACCAAAAGTAATCTTGTTATTCATAATTGACTTCGCCTGATAAATTTCCTCATTTCATTTTGAAGATAATTAAGTCTCCCATTTTAGAAAGCACTTATAACCCTTTTATTTTGATTGTATTCTAACAAGGCCAAACAATTTTGAGCCGTAATACAATTGAATTCAGGTAGGAAATAAAATACTTGTCATCGTCAAGTGTATAGTTGCCTCTATAAATCATCTTCCTTTACCGTTTTGTTACTGCTAAGGAATAAAAACTAGAAAGGATGTTTACAATCCATTCAACGCCCCCGACTATGGTACAACTATTTGATTACCATTATCAAATATGTTTGATTCTTTTATGTGGCCATAATACTCTGAAATGTGCTTACTTCACAAAGTTTTATAGCTACCGTTGCTGTCTTAAACTTATAAAATTTCGAAAAATAATGTCAGAACCGTATTCTCGTAAAATTTGCTTAATATATAATATAAATCTTAATGATAAAAACAATAAAAACACGATGATACAAATAACTTTAAGGCTAAGAAATAATATATTGTGTGACGATATCTACACCAGTTTCCCCAATGAAAAACCCGGTATAACCTCAAGTAAATAGAACAATGACACTTCCTCCTCCTTTTGCATCTAGATGAATTTGTGTGTGGTAATCACTTGAAGCTAATACCACTGTATGTCTATATGTCTGTCTAAAGGAATATCTCTACTCACAATGCAATATGGTCTTTTTTTTAAACTTTGACCAAAACACAATGCTTCAGACAGTACAGAAAAACACGAACAAATACCCTTTTTGTGAAACATCTAAAGTCTAGACTCATTATTTCATCATTCAAAGTGCATTCTACTAAAACACAATAAGATTAAACTTACTAGCGGTCTATCTGCTTTGTGTCTAAGTGTTGTCTATTTATCATCACCTAATCAACAGCTCAAACCGCACTAGACACTATACACTAAGTGTTGTTTTCTAAAAGTGTAAAAAAGCACCTACAGAAATTATTTCTAATTTAAGCATTAACGATCCACAATGCAATTTACACGTTTCGTGAAAATAGGTTTCGTAAGTTGTCGATGTAGTTTCCTATTTGTAAATTTGTTTGGACTTACTTTAAAATCAACTTTTTATTAACAATATTACAAAGAGGTAAACAGTGTAGAGAAGTATGATTGTGTATTGCATAAACTTCATATAGATTTTTATTATATCATAGGATCTTTTGATGTCTTATTTGAAACCTTGTGACCAGGAGATCCGTTCTGAGGTGTATTATTTTACATATTTTTACTTCCTGTAAATTCTCCTAAACTGTATAAATTTTACTTTATATCAACAGTGTAGATCACAATGCCGCTCTAGTGGAAAGAAACCGGGAACATGTCCAGCATCGGACACTCCGAAGTGGGAACAAGCGTGTGTGACAGCATGTAATTCTGACTCACAGTGCGATGGTACACAAAGATGCTGCCATCATAACTGCGGATCCACTTGTAGCGAGCCCGTGGATCTTTTGACTATACCAGGTAATTATTTTTGTTTTTATTTTATGACGAATAAGCAAGCAGGTGGATGGTAAGTGACTACCGTCGCCTCTTGACACCTGCAACTGAAGAGGCACGAGTACATAGCAGTCTCCCCGGGTCTCCGGTAACCTCACTCACTCGATGAAAAGTAACGGAAGATATTTTTAAGATAAGATAAGAATTGCTTAACACCGGTTTTCTGAGAGGCCGTCGTATCACCATGTACTGAAGCATGGCTCGGTAGGGACTAGATGGTGACGCAAGATATCCAGATCTGGCCAAGGACCAGATATAAATTAACTTGATAACATTGCAAATATAATTAAGTTTTTGATTATAATATTAACCTGAAGTGGTTATCCGCGCATCTTTCCCTCAATACCCAATTTTTTTTTGTATAATATATCGTTTAATCTCTATACACCGTCTTGAATCGGTTTCAAAAAACTTGCGAAGCCCACTATATCCAGATACATATATACATAGGTATACTCGTATGTATACTAGTTTTTTCTCGCGGCTCGGTTATCGCGCTAAAAAGTAACCTGTCTTTTCTTGAGAGTCAAAGTATGTCTAAACAAAATTTCATCTAAATCGGTTCAGCGGTTTAAGCCTGAAGAGGTAACAGACAGACAGACAGACACACTTTCGCATTTATAATATTAGTATGGATATATTTATGGAAGAGATTTCTCTTTTATGTATTCTCTTTATCACATTTTTAATAAAAAATAATTACAGTGTCAAAATTATATTCCAACAAAAATGTAACATCACAACTTAAATTCTCGCAAGTCGCAAAGCAGTTCTTCTATTGCAAATGCTATCAAATCGAATCTTTACTTTTGTTAACTAACAACGTTTTAAAATGTCCATGTCAATGATAAACATCTTTGTGTTTTCTCGAAATGGAATAAGCCTCAGCCACGAACAGCTTAGTCATCACATATGAACAATCTATTATTTCAAGATTCCCTAATTAAACATAGAGCTAACTTTATATATACAGAAACAATCGTGTACGATTAATGATTAGTTAAAATAAACGCCATAAGCAGTGTTGTTTTAATTTACTTTTAAATATTTACTTTGTGATTTAATTCTTTATTATATCATCATATTAGTGTCTATGGACAACTTATATTATTATTCGAAAACAGAAGCAGGTTTAGGAACTGACTTGTTCTTTACTTTTAACTTATATTTAAAACCACCCCGTTTTTTGCACCAAACGGCAATGGAAAATGGGACCCCTGAATTTATAGTTAGATATTTCCTGGTTACCAACACTATTTGCAGTTGTCTACCACCGCAAATAGTATTGTGAGCCAGTAAGAGAACTCAAATTTTATTTTAAAACCACTTATTTGAAACATTATACAAATTTATCACCATAAATCGAACAGCTGTAGCTAAAAAAAAATTCAAAAGAATCGAATCGAAAAGAATCATTCTATTTATATGTAACTCACTTTTGACCGCGGGTCCCCCCGCGTGTTTGTCGGTTATCGCGATAAAAAGTAATTATAATTGTGTTTTAATTGGATAAGGATTACTTTTTTTTTCTATTATTTATTATTAAAAATAGTATATATACTCGTAGTATATAACGAGTATATATACTATTTTTCAAGACACCTTCGCAAATATTGGATTATTTTAGAACAAATTTGATTACCATAAAAAAGGTTACAGTGAGCCAACTTCAAAATATAGACATATGCTGTTGCGGACTTTTTAGTACTTTTAAAGTGGACCAATTCTGTCACACATGATTTTTGCGAAACTTTAACCGTTTACGTAGCACACGCAACGCATACACGTTTTTGCAACATTTTTCATTGATACTCCGCTCCTATTGGTGGTGGCGTGATGGTATATAGCCTATGTATAGTATTTCTCGATAAATGGGCTATCTAACACTTTTTTTTCCAAATCGGACCAGTACTTTAGCGTATTCAAGCAAACAAACAAATTTTCAGCTCTATAGCATAGATAGATCTTTGAACAATATTGACTGCACGTATGGCGTAGTGGTTTAAGCGATCGCCACGCCAGTTCCTACTGCGCCGAGTGTTGTGGTTTCAAACCCCATGTGGGACGACACTTAATGTGATCCACAAATTGTTGTTCTGAGTCTGGGTGTTCTTTGTGTCCATTTCATGTATGTTTGTAAAGTCCCCCGCGTTACAGGAATGTATTCCTAATGCGGGAATTGTCTTTTTTAAGAAAAAAAAAATGCTTTAATTTTCTACACAGTTTGTGTAATAAAATCACTACATCTTGAAACTAGCTTTAAAACTATCTTTAAGTCATACGGTCAATAGGTAAAAATCATTAATCATTGACAAAGAAGCCACTGGAAGAGTTTCTAAATATGACAATGGCGAGAGAAATCTTAATGAGGTTTTACCTTAGCTAAAGAATAGTACGACATGAAACTTCTAAACATACACACAAACATATTAACTGGAAAGTTGTACTGTATTTTCATTGGAGGTTTATGATAAAGTTAACAGTAGAGAAAGTTCGTGAGCTACATTTTTTAATCCTGAAAGCAAACATCTGACAGTTACTACTGCTCACCCCTTCAGGAGAAAGGCCCATGTTTATATATGTATTAGAAAAAAGGTAATGATTAAATTTAAAATCTAGGTATTTAATTGAAGACACTTCTTATAATCACAAAGGTTTCACAAACCTACCTTCATTTTGGGATCTCTATGATATATCGGTCACAACTCGTATAAATCTACCTAACATTATAATTATAACCCAATATTACCAATAGGTAATAAGAGTTTCCACAAAGTAAAATACAATACTCTTAACTTTAATAAATCTGGTCAACTATCTTCAAACACACTTAAAATTTAAAGCATCTATGTTTAACAGGTCTCCCAGCAATGCCAATACTTGAAGAGCCAAAAGAAAAGAAAAGGTCGGTGGTAATCCGATGGTCTGATGGAGTAGGAGACGCAGCTAGGGCAGTTCCTGGGCCTGTGTTCTTCGTTCTAGAAGAACAGCATCATTTAGGTCCTAAGTACGAAGAAATAAGATTGGGAGATTGGAATCTATTGTTACGGACTAACAAGTAAGTAGTCATTATTTTTTCTTCATTGCAAATAAAAAATACTTTAAAAAGTAACAATTGTTTTCCCACAACTGAATAATGTCAAAAGTCAAAACTAGTACAGCATAGCATAGCTAGATGTAGCTATGCAGCATTATTTTTAAGTTTAATTTGAAAACGGTTTTGTTGTATAACTTAACTACATGACGCCATCTGGAGGGTTGGTGTCAGGCAGGCGGCGTTAGGAATGTGGACAAGGAAATTGGCAAGAGACACGACTGTTATTACAAAAATAGTCACATTGGAAATTTCCTAATCTTTAAGGGTCTTTTTTCAAAATTCCTCAAATATTAACAAAAAAACGAAATGCTATCTTTTTTCATCTTAATTTGTTAGTAAAAATTGCAATTTTTAATGTGCTAATACATACTTTCGACACATTTTTTAACTTTATCAAGAATTAACACGTTTTTAAACTTGTTGACCAGCCTAATGAGATTGGCCACTATAACATAGACTGGTCATTATTTTAATTTACATATCAAAAGAAAAAGTTATGGAAAATATAAAAAAAACCTATCAACTTCACGACCGCAACGTATAAATCTCTTTAGAATACCAAAAAAACATGTTTCAAAGAAAACCTCAGTGAAATTTCTGAACACTTGTCTTAAAACATTCACCGCGTTTCTCACGAATGTGATATTTTAACGTTCAATGTTCCTTTGTTATACCTTTTAGTATGATGAAGGCAAAAACTGAAGAATATTGTTAATTAGCGATAACAAGCAACCGCTTGTCGCCACAAACAATACACAAAGAGATGAATAAACCGTTAGAGAAAATATTTTATGCGGCTTTCTTTAAGCAAGCTGTTGTTTTACTTAAATGATACGAAGTGATTTTTCTTGCATAATATCATTAATATGTTATATAGATAGTAAAACTGAGTAAACAATGTCTTGTCAAAAAATAAATAAATATAGGTATCAATAAATATTACTTAATATTTAACATAGGCATTACCTATTAGAATAGGTAATGCTTACATTATAGTTACACGTTAATCTAACTCGATTAGATTACTATTAATAATATTATTAAGTAGTACTATTATAAAATATTATATTATACTATTATTAAATATTACGTAGAAAATAATATAAATTACTAACATTTCCTATTTCTTACTTTGAAAATTACGAATTTCTATACAACCAATCATCCTTTATTTTCTCTTATTTTAGCCCGTTAAGGGTGCAGTTACCAAAAATCTTTTGTTAGTAGGTGCTTACAATATAAAAAGCATCAGCTGCCAAAATTACAAGTTTGTAACCCCAGCGGTTTAGAGAAAATAATGCAATTTCAAATAGATTGCACCCTTAGTGGTGGGTATTTTTAAATCCTTTCTTAGTGCACACCTTCGTCACCTAAGGAACATTGTGCTAAATTTCACGCTTTTAGACTCAGTGAATGGGTCTGTCAGTTTTTTCTTTTATAGAAATAGATAACTTCAAATTTTTGTGCAATCTGTTAGCAAATCGTTGGCATCATCATCATCATCATCAACAGCCTTTAATAGTCCACTGCTGGACATAGGCCTCTTCTTAGAAAGAAGGTTTTGGGTTTCGTTAGCATAGTCAATTTAAATCCCTTTAGAACGTTTCCTCCTTTTGAACTAAATGATATACAGTTCAGGTCAAGAGCACATAATATCTAACTAAATATTTAAATAATTTTAAAACTGTCTTAAATTGAATATTTAGGAACACCACTTAACATTAATATATTCACAGTTTATTTGAGCAGCTGTATCTAAAAGTAGAACTAGAAAGTATAGAATATGTAGTCTATACAAATAAATAAAATTGGAGTGTCTGTTTGTAATAATAAAATAACCGCTTTTTACTAAATGCACATGTATGTTTACACGGTACATATGCCAAATTAACATTTTTTACAATTTTTGTCTGTCTACCTGTCTGTCTGTTTGTTCCGGGTAATCTCTGGAACGGCTAGACCGATTTCGACGGGACTTTCATTGGCAGATAGCTGATGACATAAGGAGTAACTTAGGCTACTTTTTTTAGACTAGCTTCTCCCCGCGGCGTTGCCCGCGGTTATAACAACAAACGCAGGTAACACCTCGGGTCTCAGCTAGTGATAAATATTATTTCATAATAATATAGTGAAGATATGCCTTCACCGTAATTATAGTTGCATATCACGTGGAAGTTCAATATCCTATAGTATTGCAACAGCAACATTTTGTATTACTATAATTTATGGACCTTATATGTATATAAATTATATTGGCTAATGATATGCTCAGGTATTTAATTACTGATTATCATATACCTAGTACCTCCTATAGGATAATCAGTATTTAAATACCGACATTACCTACACACACGTCCGTATAGCATTAGTAACAACGCTATATGCTAATGTTTCATATATATGGTGACCTGCTCGGTTTCATCTAACTAAAATATGCGAAACTATGTAATAACTGTTTATCCTGCATCGCACAATAAAAGTTCCTGCACTGACCATCGGGCTGAGGTCAACACTGTGACCAGCAAAAATTATATCGTATTGGTTGCGTGGTCGTTCCGTTTCGGCAACTAAAAATTACAAATAAAGTTCTTTTACATATATTTTTTTTTAACAGAACAAAAGTTTCGCTTCGTAATGCACTTAAACCAGGCCGATGGTATCGATTTCGGGTGGCAGCCGTAAGTGCGTCGGGCACACGTGGGTTTTCAGCTCCGAGCCCTCCATTCACACCTCGCAGAGGGCCCCGTCCCCCACCTGCTCCGAAAAAGCTAAGAGTACGACCCTTAGGAGTTAATAATGGTAAGAACTAGATTTATACCACTCCCTTGCTACAACAGAATTCTGTCATAATTTAAACACATTTAAACGATTTAATATGATAACTTCAGATCTACAGATCTAATAACACTTTACTAATGATACTGGGTTAGATTCAATTGATTTTAACCTACAAAGTGCCTCCCCTAAACAAACTTTATACACGTCGTAAAATTAGTTTGTGTTTTATACCCTTTTTCAGTTTCACTGCCAGTCACGAGGAATTCAATCAACTATGTTATTTAGCACCGTTAAGACTAACAACTTATGTACTTACCGTGCGAATAACACAAACCTACTTACCAACTTATTAAACAGAATTATAAGGTTACTCATAGGTTTGCATTATACAAGTACAAAAATACCATATATTTTTTCAGGTACGGTCACAGTGAAACTGGAGTGGAAAGAGCCAAATTCGGATCTTCCAATAATACGTTATAAGGTGTTTTGGAGCAGACGAGTTAAAGGATTAGGAGGCGAATTGGATTCTGTTCTAGTTAACCACCAAACTGTCCCCAAGGTAATTTTTTATGCTAGCAACCTTGTTCCTTTTTCGGCTTAGTTTCTAACACAGATTAAACTCTCCAAACTTTTGCATTTCTCAAAAGATAACAATAATATTCAATCTTTTCTTAAAATGGAAGTATTTCATTAGACACACCCTCATTTGCTTATACATTTATCAATATAAAAGGCTTAAGGCTTGCCAAAATAATCCCGCCTGTAATTTAATAAATAAAAAAATATATTATAAGAGTAAAATATTTAATGATAAACTCAATACACACAGTACACTCTAATCTAAAACAATATTTTGTACAGGAGCAGAACAACATAGAAATTAAAGATTTATTGCCTAACTCAATGTACTTCTTACAAGTTCAGACGATCAGTCAATTTGGTACGGGCAAACTTCGCAGTGAGAAAGCATCCATTTTCTACAATACCACTAGTAATGGAAAAGCAGGTAAATTCTGATAAAACTTTCACAATTCTTTTAACATTGTGTTTAATTTTTAATGTATTCAGCTACGAATAAGAAATTATTATTCGTAGATATTCAGTTCCTTAACTATATTAGAACCAATAATATTATTTTATCGTAGGGTCCCATACCAGCTTAATTTTCACGTAACCTTTTGCAGAACCGGCACCGGAAGCATTAAAAAGAGAAACTAAGAAGATAAAGGGTTTAAATATTCATAAATTAATTTGGTATAACAATAAAGTCAAAGCAAGAATATCATGGCAACCTATACCAAATATCTACGAGCAACCAGGAAGGTAAATATTACCCAATACACTTCGATCAATTTGATCGAAGCCAATACATGTTACTCTAAGTTACTAATGTTTAACAGATCCTTGTGTATAGATAGATAGTATGCTCATACTACGAGTACTTGGACTAAAATTACGTCATCTAGATATTATTTGCGCCGCAAAGCTACTCTAGATAGAACGACGATAGACAGATTCCACTAACTTCTTTTTTTATATGATATAAGGGGGTAAACTGGTCACCTGAGGCCCTAGTGCTAGTTTATTTCATATCTATTCGATAGTAAAGGTAAGCGCTGCGATTGGCCCGAACTGAAATCTTCACCAATTGCAAATCTTCCCCTTCTATTGAACATTGTTGTAGATGAACTCATCACACAACTCAACGACCATAGATTCCTTACAATAGACTATGCAGACGATCTGACTACCCTCATCAGCGGTTCCTTTGAGAGCGTTATATGCGATCAAATGATACTCGCACTGAAGCTTGTTGAACAATGGTGTGTAACACACAACTTGACAGTGAACCCATCGAAAACAGAGATGATCATGTTCACAAACAAATGCAAACGGCCACTCGGCAAAGCTGGGGACTGTCACCAAAGCAAAAATTACACAATGGCTCTACAGAACAGGCACAAGACCAATAATCACGGTGCTATTGTCTGGTAGCAGATAACATACCTGAGCACCGTCATAAACAAATTGCAGCAATTCCAGCGACTCCCATGTTCTGCGGTCACTGGCTGTACGCGCACAACGCCAACTGCCGAACTAGAGGTGGCTCTTGGCCTGCCCCCGCTGGATTTGTTTATATAGCAGGTGGCCGCTATGGTGATCATTAGATTACGAACCACTAATAGCAGCCCCATGCGATAGGATCCCAAAACACCATATCTTCACCAGGAAATTATCAAGAACAATCCGGCATTAATGAAGTACAAATTTACACGGACGGTTCCAAGACTGGGTTAGGAACTGGAGCCGAAGTTTTCTCGTAAGACCTAAATATGAACATATCTCTATCGTTAGGCCAACACAGTTCCATATTCCAATGCGAATGTGTGGCAATAACTAATATTATTTATTTATAACTTTATGCACTTTAGTACACTAATCACTAAAATATACCCTACACAACACAACACAGGTAATTTTATACACAAAAAATACACACTATACACACATAATATGTATATATTTATTTATATATATATATATATACACATACATACACTTTACCTACATATGTACATCTACATATATACAAACATATATTTGCATTATAAATGACTATAACATCCGAATACTGTCATACAGCATGGCCTTCCTAAAGGCACTGGAGGGCAACACACTGTTGTCTGACACTGACGGTATTATATTCGATTGCCATTAAGCATTGCAGCAGATTGCCACAGCAAGTGGGTACCCCTGCAATGGATTAAAGGACACAGTAATTCACACGGGAACGAAGCCGCAGATGAGCTGGCAAGGAGGAGGGGCTCGGCAACCCCGGCCACCGGCCCAACCACACTCATACCAATGCCCTCCAACCAAATTTGATCTTGGGCTAGACAGCGTACTCGTGAAGCGCACGCCCGAAGGTGGAAAAATTTCTATCAATGCGACGGATGCCCCCTTTGCAAAGGATGCCTGAAGCAAGAGAAACGGCCGCCCACGTAATCCTGGAATTCGAGAGAGTGGCCATACAATGGGCAAGACTCGCTCCTAGAAGCCTGTGAACGCCCCAAGAGGCTTCTGTGCTTCTGGTAGGAGCTTGGTTGGCTCACCTAGCCAACCTTTCCTCGACGCATAAAGGACCATTCTTGAGTCTAAATTCGAAAACTGAAGCCCACGGTAATATTGCAAAAGTGATATTTCTTATATTTCGAATCGGAAAAAGTACGTGTTAGTACCTATGCATTTATAATTCTGGTTTTATATTTCAGGTATTACGTGCATTGGAAGGCTACAAAATGTATGGATCCAAAGAACTTGCGTAAAGACGGATTGTCAGCTACAACTGAGGTAAGATTCAAGATACAAAAATACGATTTTGTTACTTTATTGCTAATTGCAATACCTTTTCAAAATAGGTAGTGCTCCCATCAGAAAGTTTAAATCTCTTTTGTGAAGTTAGTTGCAGGTGAAAAAGAGCGCCATTCAACGATGTTGCCATAAGACTAACAAAATTTACCACAACTTATTTTTAGGAATTTGTGAACTATTTTGTTTTATAATGTGAATTTCTTTATTAGAATTACTATCAAACATTTAATAAAGTCATAGTTCCAAATCTTAATCATTTATTTCAATTTGATTTTTTTTTTCAGCAAACTAACTTTGAACTGTATGAATTGGAATATCAGTGCAGTTATAAAGTAAACGTCAACTTGTCTCCACGTATGAAAACATTTGAATCCGAAATCACATTGAATATTCCTGCTTGTGAATATTTCAAGAGAAGATCTAATACATCTGCCGTTGCTTGTACTATCTAAGAAGAAATAAGAACAAATCACTGTAGAGATGTAGAAAATATTAAAATAAGTATATTGTTAGATAAATGAACCTGTAAAAATAAAAGCTACAAGTTTTCAATTTAGTTCAAAATAAACGATGTTGCTATAGTTCCATTACATGTACATTTTTAGAAATGACATTACAAAGAATTTTTAAAGGCATATTAAATGAAAACAAAGAAAAGGTTTTCCTATATTATTAAATACCTAATTTTTGCATCGTGACATCCAATTTCATATAATTTAGCAAGTATGTCATGACCTCAAAATTAACGGAATCTAATACGGTCTAATGTTTGAATACTTGTAGGGTTTACCTAATAATCTACAGTAAGAAGTGTTTGCACTGTACGTAGAGATAGACTTATTAGATAGCTAGTTATATAACATGGTAAATCTAAGTATTATTTTGTAGTATAACAGAAATATTGGTCATTAAAGAAGTAATTTTATGTAATAATAATGCAAAACCATTACAATCAAAATTCTTCTCCTGATAGGTTACTTTTAATTGTTTAAACATAAACTTACATTTACATTTAACACAAAGATAAACAATTACTTGAAATAAAATGATGTGTTGCTTAGATAAATTCAAAGCTTTAATTACTTTCGCAACCTCAATAAAGTATTTGTAAAACACCTAAAAATATGTTTTATTGCAATTACCCGCAACATAAAACAATATTATGAATATTACAAATGAAATTAAGTATTATGAAAGATAACAAGTAAAAATATCTAAACATTTCAATTGTCATGTAAAATACAGTCCATTATTACCTTTAAACTGCCATGTGTAATTGGGATGTATTACTTGTTGTAAGGTAAGCATATTGACTCCAACTTGGTTTTGATAGATGCTTCAAAAACCTTTTAATATTTAATGCAAATGGTCATGTATTTTTTAGCGTCGAACACCTGCCTAAGGACGGAACTCGGAACGGGTCTGTCGAATAGCCAATCCTACCTTCGCATCCGTAACAATTGGAACATCATCCATGTCTCCCCGTCGTTTTTGGCCAAGTGGGGCATCCACGGGGGTGTGGGTTCCACCCGTTGTGGGAAAAGGCCTTCAGCCACTTCCTGCAGTTAGCTGGGCTTTAGAGTCACCAATAGGGGGGTAGCCGATGAGCGGAGCTTTTGGTGCACCGATAAGCGCGGCCGACGCACGATTGAGACTCCAGAATTTCCTTTCGATTTAGACAGCTCTCAACCAGGATATTGAATTGTGGATACAGATTTTTTAATTACAGCTGTTCTCGGATCCCTCCTATCCCACCTCAGGCACAGATTGCCACTACGTGTGATTTTAGTCACCGCCGCAAACTCCGGCGGAATAACCGCCCGACAGGGCTGCTGCACAATGGACCGATTAATCGAGAAAACTGGCTGTCAGTAAATGTATGAGGACTGCCCAAGACCGAGTTAGTTTTCACTAGTTGAGGGAGGCATTTGTCCAATAGTAGACGGCGATAGGCTGATGATGATACGATACAAACAATTTAAGGATGAATCTTGTACAAAGATTAAAAATTGATATCTTTAGATATAGCTAATGAACTGAACCAAACAAATCAGTTTATTGGACCAATTAAGAGCAACTTGATTAATTTCATAACGAGTGTGAAGTCTATTAAGTTCCTCCGACTCGAATCAGCTGGCAAACATTCTTCGAAAAATATTTACGTAATTACCTCTAAGTGTGTCCAAGTATTTTTTATCTGGCAATAATTTTTCACGTACGTTCTGGAACGATACGCACCTAACTTCGTTTAGGACAATTGCAACCCTTAGAATGTCAAAAGTAAATAGAATATTTTCAGAAATAAATTACTAGTATTATATTACAGTAATCCCAGTTTTTGCTGATATTTATCAAGTGCACGTATTGTGTTAATTTATTAAGTTTCAAATCTATGTTATAATTTGATACTGTATTTATCTTAGTAGAATTTTTTTGCGAAAAAGATACTTAACAGTGTAAAATGTACATTTCTTGTCTAAGTCTAGAAATTGATGTTTTACTGCACTTTCAAGTACAAGACTTTCTACTGAAATATCATTTAGTGTTCATCTAATTATATATTTAGTGTTGTAAGACGTGACGAATATTCTCAGGGCGTAACCGTTGCTCAGAGGGGTTGAAGGCTGTGTTAAAATGATATTTTTTAATATTTTGTGAGCTGTAGTAAACAGTGTTTTTCTGTAAAATGGCTGAGGACGAAGTGCTTTTTGACGATGTGTACGAGTTGTGCGAGATCATTGGCAAGTGAGTATCTATTGCATGATATTTTAATTTCATCTTTTATTAAAAGTTTCGTGATCTACTAGGCAAGTTTAAATAAATGTTACTTACTATACATTGCTGACCATTATTCGTGTGCAAACAGTAAGTAATTATAAATATGAAAAGCAAACATCTAAATCACTTACTGCAAATTTATTTTGCCTCTACCACTTGTACCAAATAGTTTTAGTTAGCAAATAGTTTCTGGTTTTATTATGTTCATTTAATAACGTCTTACACAAAGTTTGTTTTCTTATTATAATCTTCCTAATTATGTAAACAGATGTGCTAAGTAAAAACAATTTATAAACAGTGACAGAACTCCAGATAACCTGCTTGACTGCTTTTATTAATAGCATTACATAAAAAAAGTAAAAGTAAATTACAAAATCAAAAAAAAATGTAGGTAAATTATATTTAGTAAAAAAAATCATGAAGATTGTAGTATTCACTATTTAAGTATTTAACTGACAACATTGGAATTTCTGAGGTAGGTAGCTTGTTTTTCTTTTAAATTCAGTGTTGTGGCACATTGTGAGTTTCTTACCACTAAACACCATCACAAATAAGTAACAACCAGAATAATCATTAAAAAAACCATTATTAATATTTTTAATGCACTTCATGCACTCATACCTACATCGAAAATAAAAAAATATAATTATTTAAACAGTTCTTAATAATTGCTACTGCCACTAGGATACATATCTAGTGTTTTGGCAGAATTTACAAACATTCATGAAACAGACACAACAAACACAACTCACCCAGACTTAAAACAAAAATTTGTGGAGTGTAGAATGCAATAGGCTGGTATAATTTGTGAATATAAATTAAATTAACTTTGATAGATTTTTAATGGGAATATATTACCATGAAAATATATAAAAAATGCCAAATGATTGATTCAATTGATTGAATTCATATTATACTAATAAGAATCTTGCAATTGTTTTTTACTCTGTTAAATTTTTCTGTGTCAAAATGTTTGTTGGGTTAAAATGGGTTTCAAGAAATGAAAAATGACTTTGAACTACTAAACACTGAAAATAAATTGGAATGCCCTACAGATAGTAGACTACTCTCCACAGGGTACTTAGTAACATCTAATAATATAAATATCTTGTGTACAATGTTTGTGGTCGCACTCTTTCAAAACACTTTTTTTTGTAAAATTTGGTACGGATAAGAATAGGTCCTATTTTTAATCGTGATTTTATTTCTTTGTTAATTATGGCAGAACAATGTTCACTGGGTCAGCTAGTTTTCTTTACAGAAATGTGTATAAATTTAGTTGCTGTAATAACTGTAACTAATTATGATTGTTTGTTCAATACTTCTAAACTAAAAAGCTATGGTGTCACGTCTGCGATATATGAGACAATGTTTCATGAGCTTTAGTCCCATCTAAGAATTGTTGTTACTGCTAGCATACTGTGAACCCTAACTCACCTGCTAGTACAAGTAATAAAGTAGTGGTGACTAATGCGAATTGTGTTTGCACAATATTTTAGTGACATTTGTTTACAGATTAAATCTTACTGACAATAGACTTCCATTTATTTTTAAAACAATAATTATTGTTGAAATTATTCATATTAAAATTGTCTAATCAATGTAAATATTAAAAGATATGTCACTAAATAATGTCTGCAATTCATAATTAAATTGAAATACCCAAACTAAAAAAAAATGTCATCAAAAATCCAACTTTTTTTTTTTATACAAAATTAAAAATAAAAAACCATTACAAAATGTAATTTCAAATAATCACCAATTGAGTAGAAACACCCATTAATAAGAAACACCCTAAGATTGACTTAAACTTTGTTGCATACATTGTGCTTTTAATTTTTGAAGGAAGTTTATTAAATAGTTTTACATTGTAACATGAACCATTTGACCACATTTAAAGTAGGTGTGAAAACGGAGGGCATATCTTTTCTTCTGATGCTTTCTTGCAATAACCTTTCCTCGGGACTTTCAAAGGAGTAGATATTTTTGTAGCATGTGTAAGCAGAACCATTATATCAAGACTCAGCACTGCTAATATTTTCATATCTTTAAAAATATTGCTGACATGATTGATGTTGCTCTATAGGAACCATTGTTCTTATGGCTCTTTTTCTGGCAATAAAGGCCTTCTGAATGATATAATTATAGCTGCCTCCTGAAAACAGAATGATGTATCTCAGTTTTTTAGCATTTATTTTAGGCAATTAAATGAAAACCAATTGTTAAAATAGTCTACAGCTACTTCAACTTTTCAGGATAGATTGCTAATATTATCAGCTGACACAATGGCATTCGTGTTATCAGCAAAAACAGTTAAATTTATATTGTCAGACAACTTGCTGACCATACAACTTATAAGATCATAAATAAATACAATAAAAAATATGAGACCGAGTGTGGAACCTTGTGGAACACCTGCTTTAATATTCATAAGTTTTGATTTGCACATCTTAATATATTTCGTTCTGATTGAGCCTGTTTGGTCATGGTTTTCAGTATTTATTTCAACAAACATATGTCTATTTTGTAGATAGGATATCAATAGTTGTTTTTCTTGACCGCTTATACCATAATGGTCAAGCTTCCCAGTCAGTAGGTATGTTATGATTGACAGTGTCGAAAGCGGAGCTTAAGTCAAGCAAGGTCCCTCTACTTTTTGCTTGCAGTTCAACTTGGTTAATATGTCATTAATAAGTGTAACAACAGCATCCAGTGTTCCTACTTTCCTCAAATAACCAAACTGCCTCCAATTTAATACTTATATGGTTTAAACATAGGCATTTGGCCAAAGTACCCTACTTTCTAATATTAATTCAAATATTTTAGATTTAGTGGGTAGCAAGAAGATCGGTCTATACATATTTGGATCTTGCCTTGAGCCTTTTTTGTGTACAGGAATTATATTGACTATTTTAAATTGGTTGTTGGCAAGATACAATCCTGGAGACATTTGTTGAACTGGTTGCAGACTTAGTGGTCTTGCTAAATATCTATATTTTCTTAAATTATAGAAATGGGCACATCATCATATCCACATGAGTGCTTGCTTTTCATTTTCTTTACCACATTGTAGACCTCCCTCGGATTGGCCTTTTCCATGCTCATTTCCCTTTCTATCCTGTTAGTACTTTCCTTGAGTCTTTAGATCTATTTCAAAGTTAAGCTTACCCAAACTAACATCATTGTTAAATGTAGCATCAAACAAATTGACAAATTCAGAAGGCGACTAACTTGTATTGTAGCGAAAAGAATTTCGTAGGCGCATTATTTTGATATCGTGTATTTTCTTGTATTCCTGGCTAGATCTCAATTGTTGTAAATATATTTTATTGACAGATATTGGTGAAAGGAAAGTTATTATATTAGAGGAAAGTCACCAAATATGGAATACCATTTTGTTTTTGGGATATAAAAAAAAACTTCATATAAATTAAATTAGTTTAATGTTTTTACTAATCAGTCATACATTTATATGTAGTAATTCACAGCCTTTAATCATAAAATATCTTGAAAAGCACCCCACGCTTTGTTATGATTAAATGATTTTTCTTTTTGTAGTTACAAAAAAAAAATCTACTTTTTAGTTTGTCTAGTTACAAAAGTGTTTTTTAGTTTTCTAACTATAATTTATTTTTGCTTTTTTTGTCAATAATGATGAGTATTTTTCACGCTTTTTATTAGCTTCACCTGTATGTTTGTTTGTATTTGGGCGACTCCTTTGGGCGTGATTTTGACTGACTTTAAACGGTGAGAATTCGTTCAAACTTTGTAGATATATCGAGAACCGATGACAATACACTAATTTAAAAAAATAATAATAATAACAATAGTTAAAAAAAAACTAAAAAACACGCTTTTTTATAGAAAACCGAACTATTTTTTATTTCATTAAGACTAACAAAAGTTATTTAGTAGCGGGATTATTGAGTAGTATGAAAAATTGTATAACTTCGGAATTAAAGGCTTATTATTATTATTATTAACAAGAGTAACAAGTTAGTAAGTCACATATGCTTCGCAAGCCTCTTAGTTCGTAGCAAAACACACTACCGTACTTTTGGGTATGAAAAAAGCCGTTAATCCTGAAGATCCTGATCAGGATCATCGGCCAAATTTATCTAATTATTGTATTGTCATCGGTCCTTGATAAGTGTGCGAAGTTTCAAATTAATTCTACGTTTTGAAGTGGGTATACATACAGGTGGTATACGTACAGTGGGTACATAAAAATGTATATAATATTGCTTCTTTACTATGAAAGTTTTAATTAAACTTTATATGGCAAGCAATTTATTAGTAACTCTTTAAACTTTTTAAGTTCCTGAAATCATCTTGAAAAGGGAAATGGAATTGTTACACTGAAATTACAAGAGATTAACTGTTTGTAATTTCGTAAGATCTGTTTGATTAGAAATGAATAGTGTATATTGTTTTTTTTTTAAACCAGATGTTTTTTAGTGAACTTTTATAATTATTTAAACTGTGGAAATGTCATTTAAGGGGACCATTCAGCCTGGTTCGCCGCTGTGTACACCGACAAACTGGCCAGCAGTTTGCTGTCAAAATTGTGGATGTGGCTCGTTTCACTGCTAGTCCTGGCCTTAGTACTGCAGGTAAGAATTAAATGTTACTAAATTTGGAAAATTCTGTGTGGTTCGGTTCTGTGTCGTGACGTACTAAGAATACCGAGTGTCACCAGCGCTATTTATCGTGGGTGTTGCGCGAGTTGTGGGAGCAAACTATGCAGGATAACAGCACTGCAGATGTCTATCTGAGGTTTCTACGATTAATGAAAGTTATATCTTCGCTGATTAATTGATAAATAATAAACTTTATATTTTCAGATTTAAAACGTGAAGCGACAATATGCCACATGTTAAAGCATCCCCATATTGTGGAGTTGTTAGAGACGTACAGCTCCGAGGGCATGCTTTACATGGTGTTTGAATAGTAAGTATCTGGTTTATTTTCTTACATCTTTTACAAAAACGTTTTTATGTACGAATATATTTACAACAGTATTTCCAATCTATTTTGTTTTCCATACTAAAATTTACAAGTCATAATTTATTGTGAATTGTAATTTTTTTGTCGATCTTCTAAATAACTCGTCTCGGTATTTTGGTAATTTGGGACGAAAATTCATTCATCTGTATAATGGTAACTAAAAATAGTCTCGTGCAAACGGCTGAGTGTCTTAGGAGTAAATTTTAATACACACATCTTTTTAAGTTAAAAATAGCCACAGAAAAATAATCATAATTAATACAACAGGGGGCCTGTGCTGTGTCACAACTTTTAGTTTTTCTTTCAAAACAGTAGATCAAAAAGGGTAAAACTTTTCTTTTATTTTACATATCAGTGTCCAGTGCACATAGTCACACATTTCAGCACCACTGTGAAGGTAGACTGGGAGAAAATGCCTGTGATATTAAGTCCGCCACTGCACAACTCTTACTTTTGCATGAAGAATAAAAAAAAGAACCACATACCTTAACCATGACTTTACGTCCCTGACATCCTAGTAAGGGACGCCGTAACGAATACTGAAATAGTTTATTCTGACCATCATTCTGATTTAAAAAGCATCTTAATTTTCTGCTGGAAAACTAATCTTTTTGCAATCAGCTGTCAAAGGTCAAGGTCATTCTCCGTAGGTATCGCATGTAATACACTACATGTGATACTACTACATGTGTATTCCCTGCAAACAGTCTACGCACACTAACACAAGTTGGCGGCCGAAGGGGAGGCCCCGCGCGCTTTGGCTGTTAGATTATTATTGTTTTGCCCGTATGTGGTATTTATTAAAAAAAATTGGTAAAATATTCTGGTAACACATGGTAATGTTATTTTTCATCATTTAAAAAAAAAGAAAATTATAAATAAAATTGATTAATTTTACGGCAGAAAATTCCAATGATTTTCGACTCAGAACCATGGTCTGAATGCACTATTTCAGTATTCGTTACGACGTCCCTTACACCCTGTATAGAAAACAAGCTAAATATAAGACATGTACGTGAGAAAATGGGGCTAAGAGTAAGTCGCTATAGATCCGAGTACAACTATTTCGCCACACGGCTTCGCTTCGTGGGTTGAGATGACCATGAAAGGAAATCATTGAAAACGTTTTCAGATATCAACCACCTATTGAATAGCTCCTGCAAAACCTATTTTTTCTTTTTTTCAGCATGGATGGTTCAGATCTCTGCTTTGAAGTGGTTCGTAGAGCAACTGCTGGATTTGTCTACAGCGAAGCTGTAGCGTGGTGAGATTACAATTCGTATTTTATTTTTAAACTAGCGGGTACCCGCGACTTCGTTCGCGTGGAATTTAAAAAGCGCTGCCTTTAATGGTGAGTACGGTACGTGAGGCCTCAGGTTCGATTTCCGGATTGGCCAAAATTTTATAGGGCTGAGAGGAAAGATGACCTAAGTTACTCTTTATATAGACAGCTACGTGGTGGTAAAATATCATCAAAATCTTTCCAGCTGTTTTGAAGATTACTCGGACCAAACAGATAGATCAAAATATTTAAACTGGTTTTTAGGCATAGATATCGTAAAAATAACCGTGAACATACAAAAAACTTATTATTTTGATATTACAAACATAAACTTCAATTTTATTTATTTGCGTAGATATTAGGTATTAGCAAGCCTATTGGTTAATTTTACCACTTGGAGTGACAATAATACTGTGAAATGGTGTTCAAATATCTTTTGATGCAAAATAATGTACACACGTACGGCTCACGGTAGTTTTTATAAAGTATAATGACTATGCCTAATACCATGATTCGGCACAAATGGGCCGACTCACCTCCTAATTTCGGGAGTCACTTATCATCAGATTACCCGTCTGCTCTTTACACAATAACTATAAACGTATATTTAAATAAGAAGAGTATTAATTCAATTCTGTTCTTAACCTTCGAACTCCATTAACACATGTCTCTCTGACGTTTCACTCCCGTAAAATTGATGTTGTGATTTTCCAATTGTAATAATTGTTTTCAGTTACCTAAATAGGCGTTTAAATTCCACTGTGTGTTATTTATTAGCTCTGTGCTTCTGCTTAAACTTAACGTGATAATTTTATGTCCCTTTAGTAATGGACGATAAATCTAGTAATGCGACTCCATAAAAAAAATTGAGCTGGGCAAGGTGATGATGATGAATGATATAACATCCTTAATTAATGTGTTTTTGACAAACGTTAACTGTTTATTTCGTATCCGAGATGAAACATCTTTCCTCTCGGTATTCTCGGCATAAGGGTCGGAAGTGTGGAACAAAAGATTGATTGATTGACCGATAACATCTGACGCTTAGCAGCGTCCTACACTATACTTATACCAAGGTTGATCATAAATATTTGTGTTTTCAGCCACTACATGCGTCAAATCTTGGAAGCATTACGCTACTGCCACGAGAATGATATCGTTCACCGTGACGTTCGGCCCCACTGCGTGTTGCTGGCCGGTCGCGACAACTGCGCTCCAGTGAAGCTGGGTGGCTTCGGAGTGGCTGCACAGTTGCCTACACCCACGGCACATCACGCACCACCCGGTTAGACATTATTCTATTCATGGTAGATTTTAAGGAACTGCTTTTGGTCATCCATACACTGGCAATAAATTGGTTGTAACCGTTAGAATATTGACGAAGAACAGCTTTGATTAATGCAGTAGCATCTTTGTTGTCAATGTTAAAAATATTGTTTTTAATATTTCTAGTAGATTTATTTGTATTTAGTGCCTTCATGAGAAATAAATCAGTGTGACGGTAAAATTTATATTAGTATATTTTACATTTTCACAAAACAATATTATTTAAAAGTATATTATACATATCAAAGAAACACCCAACAGTGTCATAACATTACGTCTGAGAATAGCACACTATCCAAACATTAGTGTCAAAAAATAGTATCCACTTCCGTTTTCACAATATTTGTTTTGTAGGATAAAGTTCACTGGATTATAAACATAAAAATTCATGGAAGAAATCAATAGTTTTAGTTGTTGAATTAAATTTTACCAATCCAAAAAAGCTACTAAAGCGGTAGATTCCATAGTACATGTTGATGAATAGTTTGATAAAGTGAGAAAATTTAATTTTGTTTAAGTTTTGTCCTGGCTTTAAATCGTTTGTAGTCGGATAATTGTTAGTTACGATTACCAACATGAATTTATAAAACTTATACACAGTTACTCATTTTTAAGTGCTACTAATATTTGATTTAAGATCATCTGAATCCATCAAGGTATATTACACTAAACAAAGATTAATGGCAATATTTTTTTTTATAAAATTACTAGTGTACTGTTTTTACACTCAAAACGTTAACGACATACGTATTTAAAGGATGAGTAATCCACAACTTCATAAATCCTACAATAAAGTCAAGCATTTGTAGTTTATTGACACACCTAAGGCTAGTTCCATTCTAACTTGGTGTTTTTGTTTCTAGAAGTAAAATCTTGATTTTAAACTGTACAATAAGATATGGTAATGTCCAACGATTACATCGAGTATTTTTAGAAATTCTACTCCTTGCTAATAACGACGCACGAAAACTGATTGTGACTAATAACGAAATTTTAATATTATTCTACTGAAATCTATTCATTGTACGATAGTCAACAGTATCGGGGTTTCAAACAAAATGTGTAACGCTATCTAGCGAAGTCAACATAAATTTACTTGTAATACACCTATCTGGATTTAAAACAGTTCTGAGATTAAGCCAAATAATATTGTTAATGATAGTAGGAATTGTATTATACAGAGTTGGTGATGGACACGCGACCGCTAATGGGTCCAATGGGCCAAGCCTATCTCAAATCAGACGAGTTTGGTAAGACAGTGCCCTGCATGGACATTAAGTGCAAGATATCATCGCACAATGTCTCATACAATATAGGGTTGCCATCTACGAAAATAAATCTTAAAGCCTGGATCTGATATTTATGTATTTAGTTAGTTTTAAAATATTAGGACTTAAAATTTAAACATTCTCACTAATTAAAATTTAAGTCCTTAAATTTTTAATATAGTTTATATAACAATATATAAACTAAAATCAGGTATGCCCTGGAAAAGCCCGGGCAGATGGCAGCCCTACAGACACCACATGTCTTCTGCAACAGACATGCCGATCACTATTAACTGTTATATTGGCACATTTTTTCATTACTAAACACTTCAATTCCCTGTCTCATTATTGCCCGTCAATAAATATACATGTTAAATTGTTATTAATAAATGTATTAATGTTGTAACAATTACGAATATAACAGCAAAATAAATCGCTTAGAAACGCGGTTAACTAGTGATGCAATTCACGTAGTGTTTGTAGAATAAAAGATAGATAACGCATATTTTTGTTGTGTATATTAATTACGCTGTAGTGTCATTGTATTTGAGTGTACGTTAATAAGAATGAACAAGAAAGTGAAGGAAAACTTCAATATACATTGTTGCACCGATATCAATATAATGTCATACATGCTCTGGTTGCGGTCTCACCGTCTCTGGCAACCAGTCAAAGTTATCAGTTTCAGTTTCTATGTGGTTGCTTTGTGTGCTGTTTTGTGAAAATATGCTCCTATAAATAAGCGTTACTATATCATTATTGTAAAATGTTTTTTTTTTATAATGTTGCTGTAGTAAGTCTACTATATTTATACATCGATATTAAAAAAAATAGTACGTTAGAATAGGGAATTTGATAACACTACACACTCAAATTTTAAATGAGAGAATTACTAACAGAAAATGGATGCTTTTTGTTTTTTTTCCTCTTTGAAACCTTCGTTGCTGAGCGTAGCTGGGTGTTTAAGTAAATTTCTGCTTAAAAGACGTGCTTAGTACATAACCTCAAGTAGGAGGTACATTTAGTTCAAATCATGCGTGCACGCATCCCTGGCTGCGTGTTCCTCGCACATACTAATATATATCGACTCTTGATAGGCAATTCTTACAAAGCGATACAAGGACGTTCAATGAATTATAAATATATCCTTAATGACGCAGAAAAATCTGACGATTTAGAGGGTATTTAAAATTTATTTTATGCACTCTGGTCGCTTGGTAGTTATTGCCTGTCAAGTGGCGACGACCACAATATACAGCATGATATGATTTGAACACTGCATAACAAAATAAACTCTAAATAACTTACTAACAAACTTTTTGTTTTGTGAATAGACATAAAAGCAATGAAATAATAAAGTTTCGCTACAATTTTTGATCTGTCTATTAATGCACCTGTCATGTATCTATTTCTTTTGCCAGTTACTAAAATACTTTTCTTGTGTTGGTATAAAATACCATCTATAACTCCGATTTAATGTATATGATAAATAATTGGTAGAATAAATTGTAAGAAAATATCAAGTATATATAAATGTAAAGTAAAAGTTTAAGAATGATCAAAATTAGAATATATAATAATATATGTAGAGTGTTTCTAACGCCTCATTCAGGTCGTTTTTTTATAGACCTGATAACTTTTAAGGCGTTAACTTAAAAAAATAACTGTTAACTTTTACAGGTCTACGCATATTTGTGACACATTACTTTTTTATTTCTCAGGACGCATTGGAACACCTCACTATATGGCTCCGGAAGTTGTCTCCAGCCAGTTGTATGGCAAACCGGTGGACGTGTGGGCAGCAGGAATACTGCTGCACGTACTTTTGGTGGGATATCTGCCATTCACTGGTACTCGCGAACGGCTCTTCGAAGCTATCTGTCGTGGTAGATTGAGGGTTAGTATTAATTAGTTTACAATTGCAAATAATGGTGATCAGTTATTTAGCAAAATATCTATCTGTAGTTATTATGACATAAATTCTGTTAATACAAAAAACCTCTCAAGTCGTTTATACGACGATAATTAAAAAAAATAATTAAAAATACTCAAATACTTTTTAAATATCTTTGTTAGTGTAAATATAAATTTTGTTCATCCTAAGTAAATGCGAAAGTCAGTTTGGTTGTTTGTTACGATTTCACATCTTAACTACTAAGCCGATCATCATGAAGTTTACGTGATCAAGGTTACAGATAAGCATATAAAAAATAACTCTTAGCGGGGAAAGGCAATACCAGCTATTCTTTTATACTTTCATTATTTATAAATCGGATATTTCGGATAATCGGCTCGAAGGACCAAAATGTAGATTAACAATGAAATAAAATTGCTTGAATTGTACACTAAAATTAGCATTTAAAATATTTAATTCATTTATTATTATTATCCTCGTATTGTACAGTTCGACGCACCTATGTGGGATGATATCAGCGATGCTGCCAAAGACTTAGTTCAGCGTATGCTGACCGTGGACCACACTCAGAGGATTAACATACAAGAGGTTCTTAATCATCGTTGGATAAGGGTATGTTTCCTCTTATGAGGATTAAATAATACGAAGTTGTGCACAGTAACATTTTTTTTTTTTTTAAGAATGTCTAGAAAATAAAAATGTCTGTTGTCTATGCTGTTGGTTAAGTGCGGAGATTTCTAAAGTGGACCCCTTGGGTTCGAAACCGGTTTCCCAGGGGTCTATTAATTAACACAAGTTCTTATTTAAATTAATTTGAAACGTTCATGATACTGTCTTAGTAGTGTTACTTATACAACTTGTTATAAGAATGACTAATATAGTCATATTTTGGCAGGAAGTATCATTGTTGTACTTCTAAAAACCCCAGCAAGTCGATACGCGTGCAGTAATTTTACTGGGGGGGGGGGGGGGGGGGGGGGGGAGGACGAGGGAGTGGGAGTGGGTCTGAGGTATCAGTTCATTTTAGAAAAGTGGTCTCTAGCCCAAAATAATCCCTGGTCTAGTAGTTAGTGATTCTGATTGACTGATTGATTGATTTATTCTATGTTGTATCTTGTTTGGGTGTAATTTATATAAGTACAGAGTGTAAGGGATGTTGTAACTAATACTGAAATAGTGTATTCAGACCATCATTATGAGTTAAAAATTATTTAAATGTTCTGCCGAAAAATTATCTAAATTTTCTTTACATTTTGCCATTTTTTGGTTAATTATGATATCACAATGATAAACAGAACATTTTACCGAAAAATTTAATACGTATACGGTAAACGGTATATACGGTAACCACATACGGTCAAAAACTGCAATTAATTAAACCAGAGCCAAAGAGCGCGGGGCCTTCCTCAACCGCCAACTTATGTTAGTGTGCGTAGACTATTTGCACGGATTACAAATGTAGTTATTATTTTTGTGCGATACTTACGGGGAATGACCATAAAGTTTGACTGCTAATTGCATTAAATGTTTAATTTTCCGGCAGAAAGTTCCAATGATTTTCGAATCAGAATAATGATCCGATTACACTATTTCAGTATTCTTTACACCGTTCTTACACCTTGTATAATGTATGGTAAATATATATGAAAATATGGTTATCAGTAGGTCCGTTATCCCAGCGCAGGCTCTACCTAATTTACAGATGTTATTATTATTATACGGTACTAGCTGTACCCTTTTTTTTTTTCCTGTGCGGAAATCCCCTCGGATATCACCCACCGGGGTGATTATGTCGGACTCGAACAGACCAAAAACCGCACGCCGTCTTGGGTACCAGTAGCCGGGGAACCAGGTGTACCCTAGAAAGGAAATCCTTGGTACCCCGACGTACCTCGGGCCATCCACGGCGTGTAGATGGCCCCCTCCTGTGTGGAAACCCCCATGTTCCCTTTATGCTCCCAAAAAGGGCGCGCGCACTCGGCAGCGCCTCTCGCCGCCACTCCGGCCTGCTTCTGCTAGGGTGACAGTGGCCTCACCTGTTACCCCCAGGCCTGCGCTTATGGAGGGCGAGTCGTCTGCGGTACCTGGTCCGTTCCCGGGCCTGGCGGGCCGGGCGAGTTCTAAACCTCTCGTCAATGGGTATGAGAGGGTTCCGTGACGCCTCTCGAGCCAATCCTCCATAACGGGTCTTACCGACGCAATAACGGCGTGCTCGACTAGCTGTACCCTGCCATAGTTGTTGCACTGAACTGTAGCGAAAAATAGATAAAACAATCTTTGAAGCGGGTTGTGTATCGTGTTAAAATTTGAGCTCAATCGGTGCAGAGGCCCGAGTGCGAGTTTATTTCACATCTAAGCGATCGTCACAGTGACCGCGTTCCGGCAATCTGCACCAATCGCAATGACGAACGCGCTCGCCTTCGAGAGCGATTTGATGTGAAATAAACTCGCACTTGGGCCTCAGAACTTTTTATTTTTTCAAGTGTGCACAAACCAACTTAACTTTTTATATATAAATAGATGTTAGTTTATAATGTGTACTAGTCTTCGATCAACAATTAGCGATAACGATGCATAGTTCCGAACAAAAGTTAATGCCTAAACTGTCCCCGATTATGCATAGGTTATTTTATTATTAGTTATAGTTATATTAAAAGCATATTTCTTTGCAAAATCGACCTTACACGCACGATTTAAAGTTTTATTTCATACCATTGGATATAAAGCAATAATCTTTATGATTGAAATTTGCTAGTGGGTCAAGGGATGAAGTGGAGACGAATGTTTATTTACATAAGTTTTTTTTTACATTGATTTTATAAAAGATATGTGTTCTAAACACATTTATACTTTTATCTGATCGTATATTATGTTGAATTGAACATTTTATATATCAATGAAACAAATATTAATTTATTCATGATTATTCGGTCGTGTTTATCATTGCATTGAACAGTAAGGTTCAAAAAAATATTTTTTTAAAACGAACTAACGAACGATGTAGTTGTTCCAGAACCACCTATGTTTTTTTTTTTTTCTTTTAAAAAGACAACTCCCGCATTAGGAATAAATCCTGTGTCGCGGGGGACTTTACAAACATACATGAAACGGACACAAAGAACACCCAGACTCAGAACAACAATTTGTGGATCACACAAAGTGTCGTCCCATGTGGGGTTTGAACCCACAACACTCGGCGTAGTAGGAAGCGGTGTGGCGACCGCTTAAACCACTACGCCATCCGTGCAGTAATTTTTATATACTCTAAAATATAAGCTGAATTGTATTTACCTAAAGAAACATATACCTTCCGTTACCTCACTGTAACAGTGGTGGTTTTTACAGTTTTTAAACACACACGGGAGCATTTGAACGGTCCTCACATTGTGTGACGTTGGAGCAATACTAAAAAAAGACCACAAACTTATTATGTGCTCGTATTTCTCGGGCCGTTTTTAGTCTAGTTGTATTGTTGATCGAAGGTTAGCGGGCATCGTATTTAGTTTCATGAATGCGATATGAAATGAGCTGCTACCATGATAATGTTGAGCACCATGTCCTGTTAATAATCGTCATTTGATAGTCGATATGATGGATGATAACCTTGGGTCCAGGACCGCGAGAAGCAAAACCGCATCCACTTGGCAGCGACGGTGGAGGAGCTGAAGAAGTTTAACAGCCGGCGTCGGCTCCGCGCCGCCACGCTGGGCGCCGCGGCCGCCGACGACGACGACGACGACGAGCAGCCCGCGCGCCGACAGGTGCTGCTGGAGGAGGCCAACGCCGCAGGTACTACCACCGTACTCCTTAATTAGCTTCGTCCTAAAGAAAAAACACTCATACAATAGACTGCCTAGGAACTGCGGTGCTTAGGGATCACACGGAAAAAAATGTTTCAGTAAATATTATCAAAACTACAAAAGAAATAGTTGGAGTGATGCTCGCCTAGATGGCGGTATTTTAAATTTCTTTTGTTTTCAGCGCCATCTAGTGACACGAAGGTATCATCTTTCTCTTAGCAGTCACGCTTGTATCTACTTGAGCTAAGCTGAGATATACTTTTAACATCCATATTTTCCTAAGTATAATTTGGTCCCGCTCATGTAATAGAGAATGGTACGATGCGTGAAAATGCCTAGTTAACTGCTTAGATTTAAAAATATCAAAATTGAAAAATGCAATAGTTAGGCGAGAGGAAGTTTCGCATACTTGTAAATCGTATTGGCGATAGCCTGGACGTTCAATTACTCTAATAAAATTGCGTTATCGTACCTATAATTGATTAATTATTGATATATGTAGTGTATAAAAAAATAAAAATAATGCAGTTTATAATTCACTTATATTAGCAAAATTTCATTTAGTTTGGGTGTCTCTATTTTATTAATGACGGCACCAAAAATTAACTATTATATTTAAATTTAAACTTTTAATTTTTTTGAACAGAAATATTTATCCATTTGATAGGTTTTTATTTATTTCCTTTTTAACTTTTAATTAGTGGACTACAGATATTTATGTTTTATCTGACAGTCGATGTATATTTCTATGGTCTGTTATGTATTTTGATGTTATAGCTGTCAACTTGGTAGTGGAGTCGTTGGATGATGTGGCAGTACTCCAAGACGGACCGATGTTCATGGACCCTGATCTTTTTCACAGTGTACTTGACGACTTGCAATTAAGAGCTCTTTTAGAGGTAAATGTATTCACGTTATATTAGTATAATTGTTATTATATTTAGTACAATAACTAAGCGAATGGATATACTTCATTCTATTCTTACCAATGAAATAATATTTAATAAAGTTTGGTTTGAAAATGAGTAAAGACAATGCAGATTTATATGAGCGTGACACGTTCATATAAATAATATAATATTAGCTTTTTTCGTTAATGAGGTCTTAAGGTTTTTTTGTTCAAAGGAATTTTTTTGTATTTGTTTTTGGCAACATAGGTAGGTTTCAGATGTGTAAAATCCTCAGTATATGTAATGGTACGCACGTTATGTGATTTGAACGACGAGTGCTTGTACGCTAGCTTCGGGCGACAGATAGCATGGCATATGTTACACATGATGTCGTAATGTGTAAACATTATATGCGACCAGTGAGAAGCTCGTTTGTTTTATTGAAATTGAAGAGTGAATAGGTTTATGGTAGTGAGGGGTGTGCGCTTGGTGCAGATCTACGACCGCATCGCGTGCACGGTGGTGGTGACGATGGGGCGCGCGCCGGCGGCCGAGGGGCGCGCGCGCTGCCGCCAGGCGCTCGACGCCGCCACGCGCCTGCGCCACGCCGCGCCACCGCCCCCCGCCGCGCCCCCCGCCGCCACCGCCGCCACCGCCGCCACCGCCGCCCTGCACGAGATACGCAGGCTGCTCGCGCTGCCGCACGTTAAGGTACGTCTGCATACACGATACATGTAGATTCTATAATATGGAAGAACGGCCGTCATGTCCTTCTGATGATCCGCCAGGCACGAGACGATCGTGCCTGACGGACTACCGCCCGAAGGTTGATGCCAGAAAGTTGTATATACACTAATCGGTGAGAGAACTGTGATTGTCGCGCGATTAGCAGTTACTCATTGGTTTGGTGGGTCTCCGTTAGATGGCGCTGTAGTATGTTTTTTTTTTGGTTTGATGGTATATGGAAGTCGCCACAAATAATATTATTTAAGGTTATTATAAAAAAAACACATTTCCAAATTTTCCGCTAAATGTCAATCAATCAATCTTACACATGTTACTACATGTTTTTTTTTTGAAGAAATTTAAAATATCTTTTATTTATTTCATCCTTCTATTCATATTGTAAATTATATTATTAGGGATTTGAAAATATACCTTTTACAGCAAGAAAAAGATTTATTAACCTAACCTTTTCTTATAAAAAAAACATGGCACTACATATAATTAGATCCAGGTACCTATGAAGTTGGAGATCTGTATAAAAATTATAAAATATGTTTTTTTTTAACTTAAGCTAATCAAAATACTGACCCTGAGTTTGTTCATACAGTCACTATAGAAGTCTATTGGACGGGAGACGATAAAGTCAGCGAAAACACATTGTACTACCACTCGCGTGTTGATGTTTTCCAACTTAAAAAATTGTCTAGATTTTGAAAAAAGTAGAAAGCTATTGGGGCAAGGTCCGGTGAGCACGGTAGGTGACGGAGAGCTTCCAGCTGTAACTCACGCTACAAAGCTTTGCGACTGTCTGTCGTGAAGTGTGAGCTGCGCGTTGTAGTGGAGAAGCAATGAGGAACAGCGATTGACCAGTCATGTTTGTTGAATTACGAGCTACTCCATCATTGTTTGCAATTCTTGAAACTAGACATCTGTCGTCTCTGTTGTGCCATTCGGTAAGAAGGTGTGATGTACAAGTCTGGCACTGGTCCACCAGACAGTCACAATCATCTTCCTATGGGTGATCTTTTTTTTAGCGCACTGACCAGGTGCTGTACGCGCTGTCTACCCATTGAGACGAACGCTTACGATTGTCGTACAGGATCCACTTTTTATCGCAGGTAATGATTCGATTCAGAATTCCCGCATTTTTATGGCGATTCAGTAGTTCTATTCATGCTTCGACGCGTAAGTCTCGCTGATGGTCGCTTAGTTTGTGTGGCACCCACTTATCTAGATTTTTAATCTTTCCGATTTGACGCAAGTGCTTCAATGTTGTTTTGACATTAATCAAGCAGTGTGAGGCCCATACAACATTAATGTGTCGTGTTGTTTGTGTAGCGGTATTGCGGTATTGTATGAACTCATATTCGAAATTATTTGTTTATCCATGGCGCCAAAAACTACCACACTTTCACAAAAACAAAACAATATCTAAAACAAATGACTGACTTTTGAATGAAAGTAACATGCCTTTCAATTAAATCTGAAAATGCTGGGGTTAAAAATCTCCAACTTCATAGGACTCAACACCTTTTTTTTTTTTTCGTGCGGAAATCCCATCGGATACCGCCTGTTGGTGGCATGTCGGACTCGAACCAACTAAAACCGCACGCCGTCTCGGGTACTAATAGCCGGGGAACCAGGTATACCCTAGAAAGGAAGTCCTTGGTGCCCCGACATACCTCGGGTCATCTACAGACGAGTAGACGACCCCCCCCGTGTGGGAACCCCATGTTCCCTAGGACTCAACACCTATTATTTTTTATAGACTTTCAGCTGTAAAAGAATTTGACTATAAAGCCGTTTGATCATTCACAATGACAATTTCAGAATAGCTACTCAGATCACAAGATTAGATTATGATACGATAAGATATTAGAAGATTAATATATATGTTTTTAGTTAACTAAAACTTTAACCGAGAATTTATTTTAAATTACAATGTGTTTTCATATCACCAAAGAGTACGTAACAATACTTGTAGAGTGTCTCAGTGCATCTTGCACTAAGTGCAAGTGCACTTAGTAAAATCTGTTCAATAAATTGTTGCGACTTTTTTATTTATGACGATGTTTTAAACGTAGGTAATATTTGATTTTTTTTTTATTCTAGGGCTTTTTTTTGATCTACTATGATCACGCTGTACACTGGCTCTGGGGACCACTATGTTGTGGTATGTGTTAACCCCTATAATGTATGTTGGTGTATCGGATCTATTGAAAAAAAATTGACATAAAAAAAATTGACATAAAAATATTTTTTCAAATCATCAATATACGTATGAGTACAAAAATTCATTACATTTTATTTTTTACAACACTTTCCAGACGTGTCACCATCTCACGCGTCATAATATAATAATATTTTCGGACATCTGACACACAACGCCATCTTGTTTCAAACTAATAAAAAACTAATATAAACCACGGTAGAGTAAATCGTTCTCATTATGATTAAAGATAAAGAGTGTCGCCACACTATACATCCAGTGGGTGTCGTAAGAGCCAAATAAGGGAGCAAACACGAAGGGGAACCTTACTGCAAAGAGAAGGAAAACTTGACAAAAACCCGTCTGGCCAGCGTTGTCTATGTCCTGTATCCAAGAGGCCTATGTCCAGCAGTGGACTATGCTATTAAAGGCTGTTGATGATGAGACAAAATATCTGCTATCAACGCCTCTTGAGAGCCATCAAAGTAGCACTGTATACACATTACCAATAGAACCTGGATTCAACGACACGACCTCTACATTTATCTTCATATCACGTGTACTACTGCAGATTTGTTAAACTTGGGCAACAAATTTTATCGATTTGACGTATATTTACAAAATATTTCATCCCCTTGCAAAAGTTTTATTAGAGCACACGTGTCGCGAATACGAAATGAGGCTGCTCTTCAAACAAAATTCAATATACATGTTTTCTGTTGTTCATAACTTGCGGGCATAAAGAATGGAGAGTCTGTCGGTCGTCGGGGGCGACTGTAGCGAATACTTGTTTATGGACATATCTTTATTGAAAAGATAAAGTTGATTTATTGTTGGGTTTGTTTCGGATTTTGTTACGATTCCTTTTCAATGTGTAAACGTTATAAATTTAGTGAATGTTATGTTTAATTTAAACACTTGATAGGAACTTGCAAATTGAATTCGACGACCAGATGGCGTTAGTGGTTTGTGTAACAGACTGCTATTCCAAAGATCACGGGTTCGATTCCCGCTCAAGTCAAACATTTGTGTAAATGAACATTTAATGTTTGATTTGGTCTTGGTGTTTCTATGTATAATATGTATGTATTTACAATAAAAGTTTATATGTATTTATATCAGTTCTCTAGTACCCATAATACTAGCTCTGCTTAATTTGGGACTAGATGGCGTTGTGTGAATGTAGTAGAATATTATTATTGAATGTATGTTATGGTTATCATAGAAGCAAGAACTATACAGCTTTATTAATTTTAGGTAAAATGTATTTATTTAATTTATAGTCCATCTAAGAGGTACCGTTTGACATTTCATACTTTTCAAGACTAAGTAACTTTGTATAGGCGTAACTCACACGATTTGAAAACCTTTTCCGTAAAACCATGGCATTATGAAGCAATTTTTATTTTATCGCAAGATGTACAATGCTTAATAAATAAATATAAATCTTCGAAAAATTTAAACACAATAGATGTTTTTTGTTCAAACTTCGTTTCAAAGTCTCGTAGTCAGGTCTTTTACCTTAGAGTTGAAGCTCTTTAAATTCACTTGATTACGAATAATCGTAAAAATGTACTAAGAATCGAATTTAAAAACATCGAGTCATTTTCAATCGAGGCGTCTTAGTGTTTAATATTACTTAAAATTCATTTAACATCCAACTGCCAACGAAAACCCATAATTAGAATTAAAATTATGTAAGTTAATGTAATTTTAAACAAATCTTTGTAGGCAAAATCACTCGTGTCCAAGTCTAGTGTTTTCTAAGATTTACTAGTAAAACCTATGATATGAAACCTATGATATGATATATAAAACCTATAAGATTTACTAGTAAAACCTATTACACGGGCTTTTATAGTACTTACATAAATCTGTAAAACTGTAATCGACTAATACATACTAAGACATGATATCGATATCTCTTAAGAATCGGATATTGTAATAATCAATTTCTTTGACCCCATCACTATACTTTAATCTGTCACAACTGTCAAAAGGTACCTCTTGTATTAGATAAACCATAGTAAATAAGGAAAAACAACAACTATTTACGTAAAATTCATGTCTATTAAGCTTTTACTAAACTTCGGTTTACTCTTTCTGCATACATGTACACTTCGATCACCGCAACTTGACCATTTTAGGTAAAAGAATTCAAAAATGTTTTTAACAACCTTAGCAATATCATGAATATGGCTATGAACGACGAACGTGACCCCAAGCATCCTTATTGGATGGTGCCTTCCCGTATTCCAAGTACAACTGGTTGTTGTTTGGACTTAGTCACAATAACATCTATAAGGTACTTACTATTTATTCCATTTTTGGTTACCCATGTACCCAAAGATTCTTGTATAAACACAACAAAATAATATAATTTAAAAATTTAATTCCAATGCAAAAAAATAAACCGTATGTTTCTTCGATATTCATCAACACTAATACAATCAATGTTTTAACCTTGCCGATAATCGACTCGAAAACCATTTCCTATAGAAAATACACCAGAGTATTTTTATTCAGGAAAAAACATTAAGGCACGTGATATGAATATACGTGAAGTGAACGAATTCACATTTTTGTGTATCAAATCATGCCAGTGTATATAAGTACAATATTTAGTAGCTTGTTTGTGTAAGGTTTCATATTATGTGCTCGTACCTCGTCCTGTACATATTTAAGTAGGGCGACCACTACAACTCACAATGACCGACAAGTTTCATGGGTGCGTCTGTTATTTTATTCACAACTCTATTCGGAACTGCATGCCACGGATTGAAGGAAGGAAGGTATAAAATTA